GAGTGAAATACAGCAGACAGGAAGGCTGTGGCAGAGTCAGAAACTAAATTTGGGTCACCCAAAGCCTAAACTTCCACTGTTAAGCAAAATTTCCTCTCAATTAATCAACTAACAGCGAGAAGGATAAATCTTAAGGGCAGTGAGCCTTTAACTATTTGCATTAAAGATTTACATGGATTTTAAAGAGAAAAATTGTACTGCTGTTTTTTTAATGATGCAATGCAAAATGCATCACCCTTGTGATGAGAAAATTAAGCGAAACCCTTCTTGACTTTTCCATGTTGTTTTACAGACACCACAGATGGCCTAATTGGATTTTAATAAAATAAATAATATATATATATAAATGATGCCCCACAGAGCAAGCGTGTCGATCCAGCCAAGCTGTCCTCACAGTGACAACTGTCTGTCATTTTTAGGACTCCGAATGTACAGTTAAAAGTTTTGATCCTTGTCTAAAAGTCTGGCATTTCTGCAGTTACACTTCCGATAGAAACGACTGCAGCTGAACATTACAACAAGTGTGCAGATTAAAAACAAGCATCCCGAGGGCTGCTGGCAGGCTCTCAAACCCCTAGGCTCTTTGAAGAAGATTTCAGTCCCGTTTCCTATAAGGTCTGACGAGCGGCTCCTGGTTAATCTCTGTCTGCCTCCCTGGTTACAGTCAAAGGGAGCGAAACAGAGGTGGGCAGGGAGGGAGGCTCCAACAACTATTCATGTTATCAGGATCCATCAGCAGGTGACCGGTCCTCATATCCAGGAACAATAAATACAGCCCGTGGCTAATGGAACAACCATGGCTTTCTTCCAGGGTTTCAAAGGGAATTAGCTGAAAACCAGACTTGGAGACCAAAGTTTCTCTAGACTTCAGGTCTTACACTTTGACTGGGCATCTACAAGTCTTTTCATAGGTTGCTCAACAATATTTTCTTTTATGCTAGACAGTCTTTATTCAGGCAACCTGCGCATAGAAATCACTGCTGTTAGACTTACGGCTATTCAACTACTAAATGGTTGGAATTGAAATATTTAGCTGAAGGCATAACAGCAAATCATAGATTAATGTGTTCCTAAAAGCAAGCTGGGTATATAACTGCATGATATTACTAAATGCTTGCAAAAAAAACTAATGAAAAAGAAGCCATGGTATAGCTACACTGGGTGCCGGAGCTCATGGTTTTGCCAAGGAGGCAACTCACCTGAATATGGTAACTCACCTATTTATCATTCACCTGAATCACTGTCCCAGCAATGGCAATTTAATGTGCCTTTTTAATAACAACTCTACAAGACTCTCGCTAAAAATGATAAATGGTAATGGCTTGCTGTCACACTGAGTGTCAGGGTGGCATCTTCTCATGAAGAATATCAAAATAACTAGGTCAACAGAGAAGCATAGCCAGAGTCTTTCCCATGCTTAAAAATGTCTTTTGAATGTAGAGGAAAGAAGTGTCAGATTGATAAATTCCTTAGTAAATGATGATGCTGAAACTAGTACAGTCTAAGCAATCTAACCCAGCTAACACCTTGAATCCCAAAAGACTGGATTGATTCTGTCAAGAAAGACCAAAACCAGAAGTTCCCCTAAATCATTCTCTCTTCTGACAGAAGACAGCTAACAAAAGTGAAGTGACTGACTGGAATTATGGATAATGCTACAACATTGGCTCCAGACTAAAAACAAATTCAATGATAGATAGCAAGCAGAGACATTAGTTTGGGGTTGTTTTTGCTTGTTCTCAGAGCCAGCGATCGTTTTTCAAGCATGTCAAGGACCTTTAGAATCACCATACTCCATAACTTATGACGAATACATAAAGTCATGTTAACTCTAGTCAAAACAACAAAGAAACAGTAAAATGAGGAGGAACAGGAGCAGAAGAAAAGTGCAGCTCTGTGTGATTCGAAATTGAGGAGTTTCTGCCCTTGAAGCCCAATGGTTCTTGGCTCCAGAGCAGTGAAGCCAGCAGCCTCCAAACACACCAGTGCCCTCACACAAAGAAACATTATTTATTTTCTATAGAATTATTAAATTATGGTCCACTGGAAGTCAACTGGCCAAAAGCAAGGCACTTAAAGATAGTCAGCTTCCCTTGAGACATATCCACTGCCAAAAGAAGCTGCAAGGCACAGCCGTGTGTGTGGTGATTCATAAATGATTTACCCTCGAGAAACCCAGCAAGAAGCCGTGACTCAGAGATTCACCTTTATTTCTAAGAAAATCCCTGAGAGGATGAGGTTGGTTAGGGAGAGCATTAGCTCTTGGGAGGGCGTTTTAGTCTCTCTGCTTCTCGTTATGTCTGTAAATGGCTCCAGGGGGGCTCCTGACAACAGATCTCTCATTCTGCGACCAGGGGCTGATGTAGGGGCCATTGCCAGGCTGGGGACAGGCCCGCGACGCAGGTGGGCCAGGTAATTGAGACCAAAGACCTCGTTATTAGTGTGTCCTACAGAGCTCAGAAACACGTACGCGGTGCCATGCCACATGTGCAATGGAAAGGGGTCCTTCCCCAGAGATCTATCCATCTAAGTTTAGATAATGATCAAGGGAGAAAAGGATATGAAAGGAGGCTAGTGGGGCTGGAGAGGGATAAGATCAGGTCAGGGACGTCAAGGTGTCTATAGGGTCATTGAGTCTGTGTGTGCTGTGCACTAGGTGAGTTCTCTCCCCTGTTACATTACCTGTCAAGAGCCCCAATAGCTCGTAGAGGGGAGAGCCGAGGCATCAACTATCCCTTGGGCCTCCGTGCTGGGAGAATTCCTGCTTCCACTGCCAATTAAAGACAGGAGAAAAATTCCTATTGACTTCAGGGGTAGTGATGTGCGTGCATAGGAGGTGGGCTTGCGGCTAGCTCGTTGTGTGCTTGAGAGCCGCATCATATGAAAGACCAGGTTAAGGAGGCTCTGCAGCTGTTTTGGAGCATCAGCCTGGCTTCCTTGCTTGCCTTTGGACAGGTTTATGCCCTATTTTTGTTGCAAAATGATGCTAGGAAGAGCTAGGAAGCTCTGGCTCCCAGTGCTATCCATATGGATGGAGCAAGAGCAGGACTGGGTCTTAGCTGGGTCTTACCCCTTTCACTGGATCTTAACAAGACAGTCTATATTTTTATGGAATATTTGAAGGATCCTGGCAAAAGACCCCTTCCATGAGTTGGTTATCTGAGCCAGAGCAGCCTGGCTGGGTCCTGGGTTCCTCTGCTTTGACATGAGGTAACAGATACCAGGAAAGAATATTCATTGGAAGAAACAGAGCCAGAAACTAAACATGGAAAGAAAAAAAGGAGCATTTCTCTATTTAAATGTGTCTTTAGTTCCTAGAACCCTATGTGCTGTCATTTTTTAAACACATTTAAACAGAAACTGTATTTTTCCAGTAGTTTAAGATAAAGAAAACAGGCAAGGAGAATTTAATGGGAGGGTGTCATTGTTTTCCTTGAATTCACTGATGCTAGGATTAAGAATCTAAAATTTAGATGCAGGCATATAGGTGACATGCACCGCATTGTCTAAGCGGTCCGTATCTAGTTATGAGCATAAAAATATACAGTTCCTGAAAAATGTATTTTAATGAAGCATCAGTATCTAGTAGCTGCTATAAACTATTACAAATACTCCTATTTTAGTCTAGCAATCAAGCCATATATTTGACAGTACAGTAATTTAATATTAGTCAAACCACTTTTATATTGTTGAGATACAAAAATATGTGCTAATAAATAATATAATAAGAAATGAAAATAGAAACCCTCACATCTAGTTGCAAAAACTGCTTTCATCAAATCTGGCTTTAAAATCTGTTCATTTATCTGTTTCATGATGAACCCTTTCTATTCATAATAGGCAAGTTAGGTATTACTCAGATTCTCTCTCACCTGAACTGATTCCTTACCCTCACCTGTGCAGATACCAGCTGTTTTTAGTACTACACTAAGAATAATAACACCAGACTGTGTCAGTAATTCTGGTTTTGTTTTGCTTTAATTTATTATTTGAGAAATTAATACTGGCTTGTGTGCTACATGTTAAAATGTACATACCTGGTATTTGCTTTCCAAAATTTTAATGTAATTATAATTTCATAAAAAACTATGGGAAATACTGATTTATTGAGCATTTGTAATGGGATCCATTTTCATCTGAAATAATAACAATACTTCACATGTTTAACCAGCTTTTCATTTCAAGTGAGTATTGACAGTTACAGCAAACCTACAATATTTTTCTGTTAGAAGAGATTTGATCCACCAATGACCTTGAACAAATGAAAGGTGAAATTTCTGTAGCCAGCTGATTTTCAGATATCCTAGTGAGTAAAACAGTTCTTTATTTTAGGGTGCCCCTTGAAATTAAGAGAAGCTGGAACTTTTAGCCTGCCATGGCAGATATCTTAAATTTACAGACAAAATGGTGTCTTAATAACATAAGACTTTTCTTTTTTTTTTCTTTTTTTTTCTTTTTTTTTCTTCTTTTTTTCTTTTTATAGAATTAGACCAAACAAGGAAAGTGTTTCTCCTAAAATGTAAAACAGTGGAAGAGACACAAGCAATTAGCACAAGCAAAACATTTTCACCTGATAAGTCGATCTGGGCTGTTTTTTCTGCCCAGTCAGCAGTATCTGAAAACAAAGCAGCCCCAGGAGACAGCTTGTCTGCCTGGCCCCTTTTCCAGGGGATCTCTTAATTTGATTTAGGGGGTGCCCAGCAAGCCCTCCAGGTGTCACAGGTAACCTGCCCCGCGGACGCAGCAAGCGGCAGGCACGGGAAACCTCCGTGAAAGCTGCGGCTTTAGGGGACACCCTCCCTTAAAGCGCTGCTGTCCCCACCTCCCTGGTTATCACAGCAATCGCTGGGCAGGCAATAAGGCCAGGTCTTGTCTCAAGTGATTTGGTGAGCAGCTGATAACCAATGCTGCACTAAGCTCTTGGGGAATATATAAGCCCCAGGGCTTTTGTGTGTCTGGATGCTTTGGGGGTTTTGGCAGCTCCTATCCTGCAGCCTTGGAGCCACCAGAGGATGTTTTGGGTAGCAAAGATGCTTGCTCTGGCTTTGAGTAGTTTCCTAGGAAGGGCAAGGGGCTTTGACATTGGATTATCCACCAAATGTGTGGCCATACCTCAGGAGATGGCTATGTGCCAAAAGGTTGGCTATTCCGAAATGAGGCTTCCCAACCTGCTGGGCCACACGAGCCTGGAGGAGGTGGTGCTGAGGGCTACGGCCTGGCAGCGCCTGGCGCGCACTGACTGCCACCCTCTCGTGAGGACCTTCCTCTGCTCCCTCTTTGCTCCTGTCTGTCTGGACACGTAAGTACCATGGCCCAGCACAGAGGCCCAGCCTCTGAAGGCTGCAGTTGATCCAGAGGAGGGAGCAAATCAGGTGTGTGTTCACCTTAAGCTGAAGGGGACCTCCTCTCCAGTTATTTATCTGAAATAATTTTGTTAACTTTCTTTCCTGCTCATTGGAGGAAAATGTACGGCAAACATGTCCTAAAAAGAATGCTGTTGCCACAGAATATTGTATTTTATTTTGTTGCAGTCAGAAAGTTATTCTTGCTTTTACTTTAGGGTTGAACTGGAGTGGCACTGAATTTAAATACCTATTGTGAATAAAGTTATACTGAATCTTTCCTTAGATAAAACAAAAAAAAAGTTTTTTGAAACTGTGACTTACTCCTTTAAGCACAGTCCAGTCTGTACACAGATGACTTGCGACTTGTGTAAAAACCCCCCAGCTGCTGCTGCAGAGCTGTGTTATTACTGGAGAAGCCTGGGTATGAGGGGAGGAAGGGTTTCAGTGGGCGATGGAGCTGTGGGTGCTGACGGCGTGGCTCCCCTCGGCGCAGGTTCATCCAGCCCTGCAGGAGCGTGTGCGCCGCGGTGCGGGAGCGCTGCGCCCCGCTGCTCGCCTGCCACGGGCGCCGCTGGCCCCGCGCCCTCGACTGCGAGCGCTTCCCCGCCGGCGAGGACAGGTGCCTGGCATCGCTCGCCAAGGAGCACGGGCACCCGCACAAAGGTGGGCGAAGGGGCACGGGCACCCGCACAAAGGTGGGCGGCCGGCGGATAAAGGAGCATGCGGTTCACACGGGATCATGCACGTGGCAGGGCCCATTCCCAGGATGAGTGGTTTCAGACACCGAGCTAGGTAGCGGGTCCCCCACAGCACACACAATTGATTTTGCGCTCTATTTATAATGTTTTCCATGGCACTGTGGGATACGATAAACTTGTATATGCGTGAATAGATCTTAGATCGGCTCTGAAAAGCTGAGGGGAATTATTCTCAGGCTTCCCTCGGGAAAACCAGATATATTGTGGGCTTGATGTTCAAATCCTCAGATGTGCTCAGGCTTATTAACCTCTGTGGAAAAGCACAGAAATAGGCTGGCACATCCAAATTCATATATTCAAATCCCAGTCTAGCTGCACCCAGGATCACTAACAGAATTGTTCACCTACCCTGTTCCCCTCCACCACAGCTGTATGAAAAATAACACAGTGCTGATCACTGACTTTGAACCAGCACTGAACAGGCATGGAAAACTACATTAAGTTCTTCACTAGCCCTGCTTGCAGGGAAGCTGCAAACATTGACATTTTCATAGCTGCATATTTTCTTTGTCTTGCCTATGGATAAGCAGTAGGCTCCCAACTTTCACAGCCGTAAATGAATTCAAAAAAGCTTCTGAAAGGTAGTGATGAGACTTTGATATTTCCCCCCAGTGCTGCCAAAACCTGCATGCCAGAGCTGCCCGGCAGTGGAGGAATTCTTTATGCACAAAAGAGCACTTGAAGTTTTCTGTGACAATAACTTTGGTAAGTTCTTGCTAATACAACTGCTATTGGAGAAAAAAATAGCTCTCCTAAAACGCTTTAAAACCAGGATGAAAATAAGTGGTAGTTTCTTCCGGGATTTCAAAGTCTAAAACCTGAGAGTTTGGTTGCTGACTTAACCTGAGGTTTCTTTTTAGATTATTTTCTTCATAAACAAAACACAAGGAGGATTTATTTTGCATGAAAGGTTTATAATTTATTTCACAGCCAAGTAGCCTTTTTATTCTTTTCTAATTGGCTACACTGTAAAATGGAAAATACATGTGGCAAAAGCAGATCTGTCTTATTCAAAGATAAATTCAAAGGAAGGCTTTTTTTTTTTTTTTTTAACAGCAGTAAGGGTCCTTGTTACTCATGTGCTCGAGTTTTATTAGTGACAAACAGCTTACTCAAAATTCCACAAATTATAACAGTAAAAGCGATTCTTACCTCACATTGTCTTATTGGAATGACAGGCAGTGGCCTAGAAACTTCCTGCAAAGCCCTTTGAAGTCAATGCAGAGACTTGGAGGGATGGATTAAGTGTTGGTAGAGTTAAGTGGGAGAGGTAGATGCCTGCAATGCAAAGGGACTAGCTAAATAGGTTGATATTAGCAAGAATTACCAGCTGAAGAACTACCAGTTCATAATATCAGCAAAGTAGCCACAGAATTGCTTGGGCTGCCTTGTGATGTTAGAATAATCCTTAAAATATCTAATAAGATTAGAATCCAGTTATTAAGGTTAGATCTAATTGTGCACAAATTCTAACATACACCATGATGACAAAAATATATTAGCCACCTTTATGAAAACATTGTTTTCCTAGTTGCATGATTCAGTTAATAATAACATAGCCTTTATTTTAAATGTTTCAATATACTGCTGCTGGAGAAGGTATCACCCTACTTTTACCATCATAAATTACAATAGTATTTTTAAGAAATTTCCCCTCTTCAACTGGTAGTGTTTCTTACTATATTTGAATAAATAGAATTATTTACTTTTTTTTCTCCTTAGCAGTGAAAGTAAAGCTGTCCAAAAAGAGAACAGTCCTTGGTCACCAAGATTTTAACTTTGATTGTCAAGTGGAATTCATTATCCAGGGCTCCCTTCTGCCTTATGAAATGCAGAATATGATACAACAGTGGCTGCTTATCAATGAAAACTGCACGGAGAGGATGTCGCAGCCCCATCGTCCCATGGTGTATCTCCTTGTGGGGAACATTGAAGATGGTGTCATTTTAGTAAATAACATTTATCGTTGGCATAAGAGGGACTCCCAGCTGACTTTGGCCACTCAGAAGTGGAGATACCACAAATGCTTGTAAATATTTATCTTATTATCTGTAAAAAAGATTATTACACTTCTCATACCTATCTTGTAAATAGAAATGTACTATAAGTGGAATGTAAAGTCTTCTTTTCCTTTTAAAATGTATTATAAGCTGAACTCAACTCCATGTAAACAGACCCGTTTTCTCTGATGTTCTATTTGTGCACATCAAGTTTGAACTCAGATCAATCAGAAAAATGTTTTATATTTCAAAACTGTTTTAACATATGTAAATATGTAAATGTTTAAGATGAATGCCACGTACATTTAATGTAGCTTTCTGAACTGTCCATCCTGCCCTTTCCTTGGAGTCATCTACGTTTTTCCTTAGTGTTTACTGCATCCACTTCATGTTTTCCCATTAGAACACTGTAAAAGAAGGCAGCCCTCTGCCGGCCACTTCTGCAGGAATCAGAATAAACAGGAATAAGTAACTGTAAACACACCCTGCTTGACCCTAACCACAGGAAGATTTGGTTGTTTGGTGTCACTTTGCAGTGACAGTGTTGACACTATCTCAGAGATAATGTGACAGCATAGGCTAAGCGCATTCTTGAATTTTTTTTTCCCCAGGAGTGACCATCCTGACCTTACATGATTCATCTGGACTCTCATCAGGCTCCTCTAATGAATTGTCCATTTTCATTTTCTTAGCTGAAATAGACACATTTAACAAGTCAATTCAGGAATGTTACTAATTGTCTGAGAAAACTGCAAGGGGCTAAGGGAATGAAAACAACTCAGGAAAGGCAAATCATTTCAGTTGGCCACATAACTGGCATCCCCAGTTGCCATGCAATACTCTGAGCTGCTACTGAGCTCAAGAAGATGGACAGAACTTGACCAGATTTTAGTTTATTTCAGTAAAGATGGGTATGAGTAACAAAACCAGGTAACTGGCAACACATAAAATAGAAATTTTTTCAGTGCTGTAGCATCTCTTATGGTTGTATTTTTTGAAATCTATTAAATTTTACAGCCAGCAGATTTCTAAAAGTCCAGGCTGTCAAGATCTGTGTTCCTGACGAGCCCTCGCTCAAGGAAAATGCAGGAAAACATGCAGTGAAAAAAAAAAGAAAAAAAAAAAAGAAAGAGAAGTTGAAACAATCTATATTCATTTTTTTCTTGTACAATGAAGTTGAGAAAGGAGGAGGTTGTTGGAAAGCGCAGTTCATCTGATCCTGCTGAGCCTCTGTGGGCCTTGCTGGTGGAAATTGTGAATGTTTAAAGAGGACCGGGGCACTTTGCAGCTGCTGCGATGTTGGTGCGACGCTCGGGCCCAACGTGACCCGGTTAGGGAGCAGCAGCAACCTGCCCGTGCCGCGCAGGGGTTTGGGTTTCGGAGCGTGTCCTGTTGCTCTGAAAAAACAGCAGAATAATGATTTTGTTATTAATTATTTCCCAACGCTTTAGAAGACACTCTGCAGTTCAGGGGGATGGAGTTACTCTTGAATTTATTACACACTAGAAGCTTAACGAAGTAATTCTAGTTCAGCTGTCATTAAGATATAACTCAAATAGCTGGGCCTGCTTTACAGAGCTGTGTCTAAGTACAGCGGCCTTAGAGCAAAGGCAATTTGCTCTGTGGTGTATTTATATACAGATAAGGCTTTCTCTTATAGGCCAATGAAATGTATGGCAGCATCAGTGCCAGTGAAAATGAAATATGGGAGTTTTGGAGGAATTCTCACAAGTGTTGAGGAAGTGCTCAGAAGGGAAACACTCAGAAGGGAAACATTGGGAACACTCGCTTCCAGCGCGGGCTTTGTAACGCGCCCTCCCACAGGACAGGGGGATCCCTTAGGAAACCTCAAGCGCTATTCTGCGGCTTTAAAACCGCACAAACTCCGCACTTTTCCCGATAACGACAGCGAGCGGCGCGGCCAGCCCCTCGGCACGACCCGCCGCCCAATATGGCTGCCGGCGCCGCCCCGCTCCCTCCGCGCGGGGCCGCCCCCACGCGCGACACCGCCCTGCGCCGCCATGTCCGGGCCGCCCAGCGGCACCGGGACCGGCACCGGGACCGGGACTGGGACTGGGATTGGGACCGCCCTCCCGACCCGGCCCACGGCGCGGGGGCACCGCGCGAGGGCGCCTCGTGGCTATGGCGCGTCCCGGCCCGGCGTGAAGTCAGCGTGGCTACCTCCTCAGCGCCCAACCGAGCGCCATTTGCTTTAAAAGGTGTGTGCTCCCCTCCATAAATGTCTCCTGGGTGTCTCTTAAAATACATTAAAAAGTTGTTATTGCAAGACCCCGTAACTGTGGTGCTTAGGGCATCTGTAACCATATCTTTTTGCATTTTGTGGTTTTATCCTGCAGGTTTTTTCACATACACCTCTGTTCGTGTCCGCTCTGACAGGTAAATGTCACGCTGGCAAAGCTGGGACGAGCAGGTAGGTCTGGCCTGTGCTCGGAGCCACCTTAAAATTTGGCAAGAGAGGAGCCGGGAGAGATTCCTTGACCTCCTGTCTGCACTGGGATCACCGTGATAAAATCCATTGGCAGGAATCCTGCCCAGGCATCATCGCCCATAGTGCAGATCCATGCCACTTCTGTCCTCTCCCTCCACACTGTCCCAGCAAAGGATCTCCTTGGATTTCCCTTTGTAACCACGAAGTCTGAAGTGCAAGCCTGACACAGGTTATCTGCTCGTTAAGTGTTATAATAATGTTTTAACGTGCCTTTCCTGCTTGCCTGAAATACTTGTCTTGGGATTTTTGTCTTGTTTTGTCTGTAGCAATGGCTTCAGGAACAGCATTGATTTATGATGAGGAAATGACCAGTCATAAACTGCTTTGGAATGAGTAAGTCAATAACTTTATTTTTTTCTAATGAATAGATTCTAATTAAGGCTTCTAAGAGAGGTAGCATGTAAATACAATATAATTTTACCTCAGTTTACATGCCATACCTAGACAAGTATCCTATCACTTTCTTCATAAATAGAGACCGTTTCCTCTGTTAGAAAAGCTTTATTGCCACTGTGTATCCGGATGCCTTCATGAGAATCTGCAGCTGCGTTTGACGGGCTGTTGTTCTTCAGCTCATTAGGCCTTAAAAAGACCTGTATAGTTCTAGATATCTGAGTAATCCTCTGAAAAAAAGTACTTTAATAAAATTGCTTATAAAGCTAAAATGTAGAAAAATTGGAGCCTTGGGAAAAAAATATGTGGATATACCAGCTAAAGCTCTTGCAGTAGCTTAGTGGTAATTTCAAGTTTGCCCGGATTAGACATGGGTAAGTCACTTTCCTAAGTGTATCTAAATTAGACCAATATGCTGTGCTCAAAATGGAAGCTCATTGTTGTCTCCTTTCCTAAGCCAACTTTTTCTCTTTCTTCATCCACTGCTTTTCACTTCAGTACAGTTTTGGTGTTTGTGTGTAGTAAGTGTTGGTAGTTTCAGTAGTGAGAGAAGAAAGAGAGAATGATGCTATTGTGTTACTTTCTTCTTTATTTTGGAGCTATGTACTTTTTTCACTTAAGTGTTTATTCTTTTTTATTATTATTATTATTTTTTACTTAGTCCAATTTGTGATATTGAAGTACCAGAAAGACTGTCATCCTCCTATGAGCAGCTTGAACGTTACCATCTTGTGGAAAGATGTGTCCGTGTGCCTGCCAGAGAAGCAAGCGAGGAGGAGATCCTGTTGGTTCACAGGTCTGAAATTTGCTTTCCTCACCTTTCAGATTCATTCAGTGAAATAACAGACCCTCTACCCCCAGATCATAAAAATCTAATCTGAAACTCGGTGACTTCAGAAATTTCAAGGGGGAATAAATGGCGCTGAGTGTAGTGCAGGTGCTGAGGAATGAAACTGCTATTCCATTAAATCCACCTTCTCACTCTTTGAATTCTCCTGAGTTATTGGTGTTGATTTATGCACAGCATGAAAAGTGATTTCTAATAAAAATGGGATAAAGCAGGAGAAAAAAAAGAAAAACCCACAGAATATTGGATATTTCCTTAGAAAAAGAATTTTTTTTTCTCATCTTTCTTCCAAACTTCTCTGAGGCAGTGAACCACACAGAAGAGCTTTGCAGCTGATTTTCAGTGTGTGTGGGAGTTTGGAGGTCATGGCAATGAAGTCCGCCTTGGTGTGATGGTTGTGTGGCGGGCACGTGCCCTGTGTGCTCGTTGTCCCTCCATAGCAGGGAGCAGCCAGGGTGGGTTCCTCTGGAAGGGAAGGGCAGCTGGGAGCAGAGCAGGGTGACAAGGCAGAAAGAATGAGTGGCCTCAGAAACAGTAACAGCAGCCAGTGCAGGTCTCGGGATGGACAAGGTTCAGCCAGGAGTCTGGATTGCCAGACAAGTCCATAAGGACCAGTCTGTGATCAAGCCGGGGTCAGTCCACAGGTCTAGAGGAATGGGGTTTGTGGCCAGGCATGGATGTTGCTGCAGCGCAGCTGCAGGGCAGCCACAAGTGAGAGCTCTGTCTTCAGAACAGCTCCAAAGGAAGGAGGGGAGCCCCTGCCCAGACCTCTTTGCAGAGCTGCTGGGGGGGAGCCTCCCCTGAGGCTTCTAGCTGGTGTTTTCTAGGCTGTCAGCTGCACCGTCTCTAACCTGGTCCCCAACACGCAGCCAGGCTCCCAGGAGGGAGGGATGTCTTGGCTCTTATAACGAGACCGTAGCTTGGTCATTAAGTATGCTTAAAATAATCCAGTTGGCAGAACTGTTTTTCCTTGGAAACTACTTGTTTATCAGAATGTAACTATCAGAATGTAATGTAACAGAATGTAACCCAAATACAAATAAAACTTTGTTTGTTTTTTATGAAAAATATAGTGCTGATAGGGTGTTAGTCTTGATTGCTATTCTCAGTGTAGTTGTCCCTATTAGATGGCTTGGGATCGCTTATTTAACTGAGTATTGTTTTGCTTTTCATGGATAAGCTACAGATAATAATACTTTCTCCTTAGGTTTAAAACTAATAGCTAAACAAAACACTTTCAGATTGTAACAGACATCGAAGTGACAAATACACAACTACTGTGGAAATGTTTTGTATCTGTTCCCAGTTAAACAATGAGGCTGATGGTTCAGCTAGTAATTACAGTCATTCAGCTTCTCCTCATTGTAGTCCTGTTAATTCCTTCCCTTTTTAAGCCACGGATTTGCTTTATTTCCATTAGATGGCAGCAGGATGTCTCATTCTGTGAGTGAAACTCTAGTTGGTTTGGCATTGGTCACCATGGGGAGTACACTGAAGCTCATTTTAACATAAATCCTGTTACATCTTATTAAAATTTGCATTAAACAATAAAGATATATTTACCTAGTTAAATGGTGTATTAATATCTTTCTCTCCTCTGCAGTTCTGAGCACTTGGAAGTTGCCAAAAGCACCCAGGCAATGAATGAAGAAGAACTGAAAAGTGTCTCTGGGAATTATGATGCTTTTTTCTTTCATCCGGTGAGCAAGTTAAAACTTCTCTCTTAAGAGCTTTTGTATTATCGCATCCAGATGGTCCTTTTCCAAGTAGGGGAAAATCGGCAATACATCTTTTGTTGTTTAAATTGGATGTATCGGTGTTATTAGATGTACTGGATGTATTTATACTATTATTGCATCTGTTGCAAGTTTATTATAATGCTGTCACTTAAACTGGTTACGTGTTCTGTCGTCTATTCTCTAACTGTATTATATCAGTATAGCACACTTGCCAAATGTTATCTATTTTTTGCCAGTTAGCCACATCATTGAAGACCATTAGGGACCTGCAAATCTCATTTTGTTAACAGTTGCTCTAAAATTTTGTTTCAGGTAAAGCCTGAAGTCTTGTATTTTTCCTCTATAAGGTTTTGTACCTTATTTATATAGATACAGTCTCATTTCACTAGTCAGATCAGTAAGTCTGTCACGTTTCCTGTGATAGACTTGTGCTCTAGAGAGGCTATTCTTACAAATGACATGATGATCACAGGTAATTCTAGTAGAGCTCACGTTAGAAACTATGCTGTGAAATTCTGCTTTCAGCTACCTGCATACAACTTGTATGTCAGGACAACTTGCTGTTGTGATGCAAAACATGTAGAGTACAAATAGCTTAAAAATAAGCTGGTGAGTGATCGGTGATAATCACAAGACACCACTTTTTTTTTTTTTTTTTAGAGCACCTACCGCTGTGCCAAACTAGCAGTAGGAGCAAGTTTGCAACTGGTGGACTCTGTGATGTCAGGAAAAGTGTGCAATGGAATGGCATTAGTAAGGTAAGAAAATACTGAGATAATCTTTGCTTTTCAACCAGATTTCCTTTTTTTGGGGATAACTATATTTAACTTTGTTTTAGACCTCCAGGTCACCACAGCCAGAGGAATGCAGCAAACGGGTTCTGTTTATTCAACAATGTTGCTATTGCAGCAAAATATGCAAAAAGAAAATATGGTTTACAGAGGTAAGTGCATAGCTGGCTCTGGGGAAGCTTGTCTTAGGCATAGTCAGTGCCATTTAGATACTGCTTGGCATTGTACCATTTTAGAATAACATCTAGAGTGTCTTGGGTGTTGGGGATCTTTTGTGCATGAAAATCAGCTCTGTTCATCTGTTCCTCCCTTAGATTGGAATGCTCTACTTATTTCATTCAGTGTTTTCTTTTACTGATCTATGCAGAATCCTAATTGTTGACTGGGATGTGCACCATGGGCAAGGAACTCAATATATATTTGAAGAGGATCCAAGGTTTGTAAGAGGTTTTGTTTGTTTTTTTCATGTTAGATAGTTATATGTTATTTGTCTTTATATTCTAGATATAGAAATCTTGGAGAATGCATTTCATTCTCTTGGCTATTTTAGCTACTATATCGTGCCTTTCTTTATTTGTTTTCAAACAGGGGAAACGTATCTAACAAAAAATTTTACCTAAGGAGTAGCATAGAATGAGCAATATGACTATCTTAGTTTGTCAGTAAAGAAAATAATTTTAAGCCAGCATTCAAGTAATCTGTCAATTCTGTCTGTTCAGAAACCTCTGTTTATTTAAGTAGTAGTTGGATGAAACCCATTAGTTTTATGTTGCTTTCTGAAAATAGGTTCTTGAAACAAGTTTCTTTTCTGAAAAAGCCTGGAATTTTGTATTTAAAGGAACCCATACAAGAAATTTGTAGCAATTGTCCCAAGTTGATTTTGTTCAGAGAACTAAGGGGGAAGGAGGATTCTGTTTTCAGTCAGTAGGGCCTCCAGTAGGATATGTCAGTCTTGACATTTTCATTAAGATGTGTTTGTTCTGGGTGTCTTTCAGTATTTTATATTTTTCCTGGCATCGCTACGAACATCAGGAATTCTGGCCATCGCTAAAGGAATCCGATTATGATTCTATAGGTTTGGGAAGAGGAAAAGGGAGAAATATAAATTTGCCTTGGAATAAGGTAAGTATTGTGTACAAAAAGACAAACTCAGCCACTTTCTTTCTTATACATCATGTAACACATTTTCTGGAAGGTGCACTGCTTCACTTACTTGACAGGTGTCATGGGGCAGTACATCCTATTCCTGATGCAGAACATCTGCTCAGAAGTATGCCTTGGAAAGACAAAATATTAAGAGAGAAAAAAAAAAAAAAAAAAAAAAACGCAAAACATATATTCTGTTTTCACCAGTATCTTGCCCAGCCATCAAGTTAGAAATAGTTTGAGGTTATGATTACATCCATCATTGCTCAGCAAAGAACTGAAGCTTGTTCTCCAAGAGTGAAAGTGCTGCAAATCCATGTACTTTACTTATATGGGTTTGTTTTACTTGACTTTCTAAAGTTTTTTCGTGTTTATAAGTTTTTCTGTAATGTCTTGAAGAATTTAGAAGTGAACAGGAGGAAATCTGTTATTCCAACAGAAGAATATGATCTTTATTATATTTTACCACTATTATATAATATGTGATTTTTATGTTACTGGTATATTATTTGTGTATATATGTGTATATTTACAATAATATCAAAATAATATTTATTATATATTGTCATATTATGTTTTGCAGGTTGGCATGGGAAATTCAGATTATCTTGCTGCTTTTTTTCATGTCTTGCTTCCAGTGGCTTTTGAGGTAAATTACTTTTGCTTTGTTATTTTAATAACAAAATCACCAGCTACTTCCTAAGTATATTTCAATCAGATACCCTCATATGTTTTGCAGAATTGTAGCACCTACCAGTAATGCAACTAACATGTTATTTCTGCTGGTAGGAATGGTGTCCTCATCAACTGAATAATATTTATGAAATGTTAAAATTTTAGATATTCAATATAAAGATCTGTATCTTCTTCAACAATCTTTGGGTAATCTTTGATTTTATTCAGTTTTATTTTATTCCTGTTTATGGTCTAGTTGAAATACTACGTTTAGCTGTATAGTTGAAACCAAGTACGAAACTGAAGAGAAGACTTAGGAACGGAGACTGAAATCTTTCTGTTTTACAACAGTTTGATCCTGAACTGGTTCTTGTGTCCTCCGGATATGATTCAGGAATTGGAGACCCCGAAGTAAGTAACCTGCCATGGCCTTTGTGCAGTCAGTCACAAATCTGATTGTAAAATACTTCTGCACCTTACATGTCTGGTGATTGTTAGGTGGAATTCACTTTGACCAAACAAGTGTTTGAGTCTTAAGATAATAGGATGAAGCTTGTAAAGACCAGATTATTCCATAGGTATAAGTTATATGTTGGTTTTTTGCACCTTCCTTTAAAGTAGTTGGTTCAGCATTTTTGCTAGATCCATGCTATTGGGGGTAAATATTCCAGTATTCTGGCTTACACCCATGTATTTCAGATTGTCATTTTTTAACCAACGTTCTGAGTCAGGGTTATAGCTCTTTATTAATATTTTTCTTTGCTTTAGGGTCAGATGGATGCCACTCCTGATGTTTTTGCCCATCTTACCCACTTCCTTATGCAGCTAGCTAATGGAAAGCTGTGTGTTATTCTGGAGGTAAGACTGAGAAGGAAGAGTCTTTGCATTGACTTTGTAGACTCTTTGGGGAAGAGCTATATCAGCCAGGCTAGACATGAGAACGACAAACCTCTTAATGTATTGGATTAATAAGCTGCATTATGGATGGTTTTGCAAGAGCGTCTTTCTTTGCTTTAAAAATGTTTAACTTAAGTATGCTCTTACTTGGGAGTGAAGCCTTTACTGATTTTCCCTTGTTTTTTAAATTACAGAACATCTCTTTAAGAACTCTGTTTTAACTACGAAAAAAGTTTCCTCCTTTTGAAATCTGTATTCCAACTTATCCTTTCTGCAGCATGTTAGAAAATACTTTTTCAGGTAAATAGGTTTGTTGGTATAATATCCCTAATGAAGTCTCCAGGAATGCATCCATCCTCTAAGAAACAACTCATTTCTTGATCTCTGCTCCCTTGAACCTTCTTCCTTCATATCTTCTGTCTTCAGCAGGCTACTGTAGGTCCTTCTGTCTCCAAGCTGGAGTTCAAAGAAGCATCCCCTCCCAAAGCCAATGTGTAACTGTTCTGCTGGTAGTGTGCAGGCAGCAGCTTGTCATCTCCAGTCTAGCAGTCTTAACTCTAGTCCTTCAAATTCTGCCAAACCACCAGCTCAGCTGGGCCTTCAAGTGTCAGTCTGTGAAACATTTCCTTTGCGCTGTCCTGTCCACAAGAACTGTTGAAGGTGCCATGTCAGGGATAGGGTTGAGGAAGGGATATATATCCAGGGTTTTCATGGCAAAGTCATGATTTCCAAACTTAATCCAACCATGCTAAAATGAGTTGCATCGTGACACCAACAAAGTTCGTTAAGTTGCCTGCAGCTTACTGTTCCCAGATCGAAAACTATTGACTTAGATGTAATATAATATAGTCTCCATTTCACCATATAATTTTCCATTTCTGTAAATTCATTTATATTTCAAAAGTTTAGCTTTTCACTTACATTTTACAACTCTTTGTTGCTTCTGTGGCACTTCTTTTGTCTAGGGTGGTTACCACTTGAAGTCACTGGCTGAATCAGTCTGCATGACTGTGAAGACTTTGCTTGGAGATCCTGTACCTCAGATAACTGGAGAAATGGCACCTTGCCTAAGGTAAGCCCAGAAAGAATTTTAAAACATTTCAGATATTTATCAAAGAAGCTGAAGATGTATATGCTTCAAATGTTTGGCTGAAACAAGACTTTAATATAATACTTAATCGGATACTATTTTCTGCTTTGGAAAATTTCCATTCCAAAAACGGTCATCCTAGATACAGTTTTGTATATTTTGTTTTCTGTCCCTGTAATTGATTTAAATTACAAGAAGTTCTTGATGGATTGTGATTTTACATTGTTTACAACTGGATCTTTCCAGGGTAACAAGACCACCTCATTGAAGGCTGAGGCCAAGGCAATGCCAGCTAATGGCAGTTGTTTTTGGAAAAGTCTGTAGTTGCAGTGGTTAGTTCTTCAGGTTCCAGCACCACTGCAGCTGCTGTAGCAGAGCACGTGCAGGAGCCAACTGTCCTCTCATCAGCACAAGCTGCTGCTCTGCAGAGCCAGTTTGCATGACCTCCCAAATTAAACTTTGGGCCTGAATTATTTTTGGAGACAGTAAAATTGCATTTGTGCAGTAGCGTGGCTGACCTTGTAAAACATTCTGTACCTTGGGCCTGTATCAGTTCCACTTCTAAACAGTGCCATTCCTGCACCGTCTTCTGCAGATCACCAAGTATCTGATCTTTGGTCTCTCTTCTGTCTCCTGATTTTCCTCAGCAGTAATATCCCTCTTGCATTTTGATGGGTAGAAGGCAGCACCTACTGGTTGACTGTGTTGTTTAAATTAAAACTCAGACCAGCCAGGCAAGCAATGTAGGTGTACACAAGTTGCTGGACAGAGTTGGATTTATCAGCTCTGAAGGAACAATGCTGTTGTTCTGAGCGGTGTGTTTCTGTGTTGCGCTCTTGGTACGTCACGCAGTACCTGTAGCATCATCCCTTTTACTCCTTTATCTCAGTTACTATCCTTGATAGCAGCAATTTGATATTCATCCTATTATATGAGTTCAACTCCTACTTATTACATTATCTCTAAAGAGACAAAATTTGTCCTACATATATAATTTGACCTGTATTAGCGTTGTATGACAGCTAATACACTAGGTCCCTTTGCCACAAACAATAGCAGTAACAGGAAGGAGAGATTTTTACACAGAGAATATCAAGGAATTTGATTTCCTTAGTTTCTGTCCCACTTTCAGTCCGTGCAAACAGATTGTTTTGCTGTTGCAAAGTCTAATTGCTCCTTTGCACTCTGTAGATGAAATCTCTGATAGAGCAAAGGGTAACGGGTGAAATCCTGTCTTTCCTGAAGTCAGGGAGAGGTGGTAATGTCAGGACTTCACTCAACATGTGTAAATGTGCCCCTAAACAGTTACCCCAATGTGTTCAAAAATGTTACTCCCTTTTGTTTTTGCTTTCTCTTATTTGGCATTTTCAGGCAATCTTTCCAAGTGATATCCCCATTGATTCTCAAGCTCTGTTTTTCTGTTCTGCATTTTTGGAATAGGTCAGAGTTGGTTTTCAGAGTTTTTTATGTATGAGAGAGAGTGTTTTATATATATTTTTGTGTGTGTGTGTGTGTATATATATGGGTGAATCATATTTTCAATATTGCTAGTGTTGTTAATTCTGATTCTTTTGTAGTGCTATTGAATCTATTCAAAATGTGAGAGCAGCACATAAGCCCTACTGGAAATGTTTGATGTATGAAGGTAATTATTCTTTTCCTTCAAGCAAATATGATTGGTAAACAGACTGATATTGAAACTCAAAATTATGAAAATTAAAGACACTCTTTAAAAATAATTAAACTACCCGTTCAAATGATCTGTGAAACACTGAAATAGGGTGAGGCTTTATTTGGGGGTAAATACAGAGCTGAGCCATAGTGGTATTGGGTTGACTTATGAATGAAGGTCTTAAACCTCAGACCAAAAAATAGTCCTTGACTCTTTTTTTTTTTTTTGAGTATTCTGTATCTGTGTCAAATCTATGGCCATATCATTTAAGACCTTTGGACTAGCTTAAAATAAATACTTCTGTGCTGGAAGTTGTCAGGAAGGAAGTTGTCAGGAAGAAATCATCTGTATTAAGAAACATTGCACATGGACATAAATATGCACACTGCTAATATAAATGTACACAGTTTTGTTAGTAAATAACTAAACATTAGCACCAGTCAGGAATTAATGCATGTGAAAAATCCTTGTTTTTTCTTTTTTTTTTCTCTCTAGATGCATCTTTTTTACAAAATCTGAGCACTAAATTACAGCTACTAGAGAAGGCTACTACAAATCCCTCCGCAGAGCATGAGTCTAAGATAACCAGTAAAGATGAAGTGGTCAAAGTAGAAAAATTTTTGGAAGTGCACATGAAAAATATTCTATTTCCTGTGCCTCCCATCAAAACAGCAGCAACAATTGAATCTAAAGCTTCAGCACATTTGCTCCCACTCTCGGTTCGTGGGGTGAAAGAAATGGACAAGAATGAAGTTAAAGCTCTTGTCAGGTTGGCTCTTTTTGTCCAGATCTCATGACTTGGAAATGAGAGATTTTTACACAGATTGTCATCTAGTTCTTTCTCTGTTGTGGTCTTTTTTTTTTTTTTTTTTTTTTTTTTTTTTTTTTTTTTTTTTTTTTTTCTTTTTTTTTTTTTTTTTTTTTTTTTTGGTCTTGGTTTATTTAATGCTATCCAGAATGTCTTTCTCTTGAAAAATAACAAATTGATGTTGATTACCATTCATATTCTTAAAGCCCTTTGTAAAAAAGGTCATAATGTCTTAAAAAAAAAGGGCAATTTCAAGGGTTAAATGCTTGGACTTTAAGGGTGAAGGATTTCACCCATGAAGTCCAAGTATTTCTATTTAGAGAAAGGTTTTGTTGAGAAGGTCTCTTAAAGCGATAGCAGGGCTTTAAGATGAAAACACACAATCACAGAATGGTTGAGGTTGGAAGGGACCTCTAGAGATCATCTAGTCCAACCCCCCTGCTCTGGCAGGGACACCCAGAGCACAGGGCACAGGGCGGCATCCAGGCGGGTTTGGAAGATCTCCAGAGAAGGAGACTCCACAACCTCCCTGGGCAGCCTGTGCCAGGGCTCTGTCACCCTCACAGCAAAGAAGTTCTTCCTCATACAGAGATGGAATATCCTTTGTTTCAACTTGTATCCATTGCCCCTTGTCCTGTCACTGGCCACCACTGAGAAGAGTTTGGCTCTTTCCTCCCTATATTCTCCCCTCGGGTACTTAGACACATTGATCAGGTCCCACCTCAGTCTTCTCCCACCCTGGCTAAACAGGCCCAGCTCACTCGGTCTTTCCTCATACGATAGATGCTCCATCCCCTTAATCATCTTTGTTGCTCTCCACTTGACCCTCTCTAGAAGCTCCACGTCCCTCTTATACTGAGGAGCCCAGAACTGTCTCCAGTACTCCAGGTGCGGCCTCACCAGAGGTGAGCAGAGGGGCAGGATCCCCTCCCTTGACCTGCCGGCAACACTTCTCCTGATACAGCCAGGATCCCATTGGCCTTCTTGGCCACAAGGGCACACTGCTGCTTCATAGTTAATTTGGCGTCAGCCAGGACTCCCAGGTCCCTCTCTGTGGAGCTACTCTCCAGCAGGTCGACCCCTGATCAGCACTGATGCCTGGGGTTATTCCTCCCCAGGTGCAGGACCCTGCACTTGTCCTTGTTGAACCTTATAAGGTTCCTCTCTGCCCAGCCCACTAACCTGCCTAGGTCCCTCTGACACCCAATCTGCTCTGATCTGAGAAGCTCCACTTTTGGCTTAAAAGTCCAATTCTGCTAGAAAATCTATTTCCTGAATATATTTGGATCTTATATTTTCTTTCCAGTGCAGAATGGAAACAGGTTTAGAGAGTTGAGAAATGTCTGTGTAGAGCATTGTCATCTTCCACCTAGAGTTGTCTTCAAGAATGTGCAGCACACAAAACAGTACTGTTGTAAAATACTATGACACTATCTTCCTCAAAAGTATTGGAATTTTGTCCTTAACCTATTTTTTCTTCTTTTAATATATTTTACAGTGCCTTTTATGGAGACCTTGTGAAACAGGATGAAACTTTGCTTTCTCTTGGGAGTATGTTGGCTGTCCTAGATAAAATACTTATGAAGCAGGTGAGAATAACGTGCTTTGATCTTTTCGGGTGTTGCTTTCTTCTTATTTCTGCTTCTGCTCTTTTCTCATCAATATATCAGTTATTACGTCATTCACAACCCTGCCACTCTTAGCCAGATTGTTCGTAGTTACAAGGGTGAGTATGTAAGGTCAGAAACCATTCAGGAATAGTTGTTGACTCTGAGGTACTTTCTGGTTATTTTCGAGCAAGATACTGCCTTGCTTTTCTGCAGCCTCAGCAGATGAGACAGTAAGAACCCTTCATCACCTTTAGATATAGAGGTGAGCCAGGTATTCTGTCTTGGAGTTGAGGGGAGCAGGAGGCTTTTTTGCCAGCAGAACATTAAGCAGCAGCAAGAAATTTGAGCAGGAAATGTCCCATTCTGTCCTGGTGCTCCGAGATTGCCCTTAGGAGAAAGTTAAGCATTGGTCTTCATTAACGCTGCCAAGCTATGTGAAGCTGTCCCCACCTACTATTATATGGAAAGTTTACTTGGAGCTGATGTTTTCTCTCCCTCTTTATTGACTTATTGAAGGTGCAGTTTGGTGTTGTTTGAAACACCACTGTATATTATAAATGCAGTAACTTAAATCCAGCTTTTTGACTCTTACAGGGTGAGGAGCGCAGAGGAGATAGACTTCGAGGGTGTGAGTTTGGAAAAGGGGCAAACAAAAAAAACCACAAGCAAATACAAGTATATGAGATCCTTATAAATCAGTATTGACATTTGCATGAAAAGCCCTCTAAAAGTATCAAGTTTGTGAGGAAGAGTCACTATCAGAATGGCCCCTTGCTTGTAACCTTGCTTGCTTCTCCTACCTTGCTTGTAACCTCCTACCTATTGCTGGTAGCCACCTCTGTAGACTTTAGGGAAAATTTCCTTTCTTTTTCTCTATTTTTTTTTTCTTGCTAACATTTATTAGCTTTAAATACTGAATATAGCTCTAGGAAATTCAGTAAATATTTTTAAAAGATGATAACTGCTGAAAAAGAAATAGAACTTGTAATGAGCTGCAGAAGCTAAGCTGAGCTTTTTATGTTGACAGAGAGGGGAAGGGAGCACCTAGTTCAAAGAATCCCAGAGAACAAACAAACACCTGAAGGCAGAATGAGTTTTACTGACATTTGTGTTTGCTAGGAAAGAACCACTTGTCATAGTTAAAGGGAGAGTCAGAATTACGTTATCAGAAAGAACCTTCTTGTAAGAGTATGGTTTCTTGTGGTGCACCTTGCCTACTGGTACACGAACATATAGCTGATCTACAGATTACTGAGGGATCCAGTAAAGATGAACTTCCCTTGGAGAAGCTTTTCCAACAGTTGCCTTTTGACATAAAACACTTTTGAAGTAAGTTGCCAAATAGAAGATTTTTTGGCATAACAATCAAATACAGCTTTCTTGTAGAAAATAAATTGTTAACTTTTTAAAATCTTACTGTATTGCACCTTTCATGCAGCTTTAGTTTTGTTTGAATCATACCTATATATAAACATTATATAGACATGTATAGATTATTATAGATTATTATAATATATATATCTAATAATCTATAGATAGTATAGGTTATTATAGAACATATATTATATATGAACAATATAGAAACATTAGTTATAAATTAAAATGGCATGATAATGTGCAGCATTAATCATTCCTGAATAAAAAATGTATTTTATAGGCATGCAATGGAATTGCAGAATCGCCTGCAGCTTCCGTGTCTGCTGCTGTTGCACTAAGACATTCTGTTCGTTTTGGATTTCAAAGGTGATTTTCTCTTTTGCATTTGAAGCCCCTTGACAAAATGTAAAAATATGATAAAAGTGTCTAAACTATTGCAAGCTGTCTTTGAAAAACTTCATTTTTAAACAAATAGCACCCTGAAAGGCATAGCATTTTCATATTTAATTGAGTCCATATTGTCTATAATGCCAAAAGTCTTTGCCTTACCAAGGGGAAACACCTTTAAGGATGATTGCTGTGCCAGCCCAGGCTTTCTGTGTTGCATTTTCTGTTTTCCCTTTAGACTTTCTCTCCCGCAGTGTCTGACAGGAGAGAAGGCATTTGCTTGAGCTGTCCTGAATATATTTTCTTTATATTTCCCATGGACCGATTGGAGAAAAGATTTCCTCTTTTGATGCAACTAATTTACATGCAAAGTCCTTTAAAAATAGCACTAATTAAAAGGAAAAAGAAAAAAAGAGACAAAACTCATAGCTGCATTTACACAAGGTTTTATTTTGTGTTCTGCAGAGTGCTCTGCATATTTGTTGGAGACATGGAAATCATACCAAATACAGAGGATGGGTAAGGTTTCTCTTTTGGTCAGGACATCAGATTCCCAAATGCTTTATAACTGTTCCTAAGTATCTAGATATATGATGAAACGCATTGATGAATCGCTTATGTTTATTGAAGTTTTATTATTTTTAACATGAGACACAATACAAAATATTCCCAAATACATCTCTAAAGTCAAACCTCTATTTATAAGTGTCACTTCATGATTTTAGTGGTAGGTTTAAATTATTATCCTTTTATAACAACTGAAATTTAGATTGTTACTGAGTGTGTAAGTAATGCATTGGCAATATTCAAAAAGAAATTTAAAATGTCAAGAAAAGATGGAAAGAAAGTATACATTATGTAAAAATCACTGGTAAAAATGAAATTGCATATGAAGAAAATGAAATCATAATTATATTAATACAGATATACAAAGTGTAATCTGTATCTATCCACTTGTGAATCACAGGACAGGATTTGTTCTTACTCAGAGTTAAGTGAATTTTTATGAGTGATTGGATATACACTGGAAAGAAACAAAGATAGAAATATGAAGGAATGGACCAGGCTGGAACTTAACACATTGTTCCCCATCCATCCCCAATTCACCTTGTCAAGGAAGTGGACAGAAATACAAGATTTTGGTGCAAGAAGCTGTAGCTTCTCACTGTGTCCCAAAGTCCTGATGTGTTTCAGAGAATGTCGTACTGCTGATGTTGAGTTCTTCATTCAAAGTTACCTTTATTTATCTCTACCCTTCTTAGCTCCCTTAGAAGTGACTTGTCTGTAATCTTCAATACTTTTTTCTTGAATATTAAAAAAGAGAGATTTGAATTTTAATTGGCCTCAATGTCATCACATGTAATTATGTAAACTTTTCTACTATTGAGATATGAGCTAGTATTTAAAGAATGACATAAGGAGCTTTTTTAAAATGTTATTGGTTAAATACTGGGATGTGCTTTTTATTTACAGAAGAATCCTCGTGATACATGTTTGTGAGAAACAAAAATCTGAAAAGACCAACTCCAAACACTATATCTCCCTGAACTGGAAGGAGGTGAGGTTCATTTTCATAAAGCTAAAACTGTTTTTTAAACAGAATTAGTAGAATATATTTACAGATTTGTGAGATGACACTTAGAATTATATCCCTTATTGGAATTTGAACACTTGGAAACATTTCATTTTTGCCCTCTCTTGTGCTTCTCACAAGTCTTTAGCCTGTGTTAGAATACATAGGTTTGAAAACTTCAGTAGCTGCAACTTCTCACATTCAAGAAGGCAAAATCACAGTGTGAAGAGAATGAGGAGGAGATGACTATTCAGCATTGAATAAAGCTGCATTCGTAATAGATTGTTCTAAAAAACAGATCAGTATCCTGTTTCCTAGGTGAAATGCAAGTTTATTGAGGCTCACCTCTATTTAGCATTTGTGCTAAACTATTTTTCATTTTTGTTAAAGGGTGCTGAAGGCAATGATTTCTTTTCTGCTGTTTTTGGATTCATTCTTCCCGTAGCATATAGTTATCAAGCCAATTTAACAATAATAGCTGTTGGACCAAACAGGAGCCTTGGAACAAATGGGATTTCTTTGCTCTTTGGTTCACTGCGAGGACTGGCTGAGTCTCGAATCCTTGCAGTGATTGAGGTAAGGAATGGCACTAAGCTGTGATCATTCAAGCTGAACAGCAGCCTGTGTGGCAAGGAACTGCACAGCACTGCCTAGTAGAAAATACTGCCTGTATCTACATTGCCTGTGGTACCTCTGAATTAATGACACAGATAGCCCAAGCTTCCCTGCCCTGGTGGGATTCCACAGCTCGGGATTCTCTTAGGAAAATGAGCACTTACTCTTACATGTTATGGTGTCTTTTCATTGAATGTGACTGCAGCACTTTGTTCTCTTTATCCTAAAACACTAGATTTCCTCTCTGTCCCATGCTGTGCTCTGTCACACACAACTAGCATCATGAAAAAGAATAAAGTTAGACGTATTCTGTGAAGAAATAACTGAAATACAAAGTTTTATATTGATACTATTGGGGTAACCCCATAACAAGATCTTCTAATGCATGTGTGCTTTGTTTTTTAGAATAACTGAAAATTCACTTTCATACATTTAAAATATAGTCTTACATTCTTCAAAATAATTGTTAACATTCTTCATATAATATGGATGCTTCAAAAGAAAAAAATCTGTAAGAAATGATTTAAACTGAAGCCAAATGTACCACCGTAAACTCTGCTGGAAGCAAACAAGCTCCATTCTTTCCTTCCCTCCCTTTCTGACATTTCCTACTGTTAATCCAGGAGTATTTCTTTACCTTCATTTTTAGAAGGAAAAAAATAAGATGCTTTCTCTATTTGAAAAAAAAAATATTTAAAATTATTTTTTCAGAAGCACATTTTCATTGAAAATTCAAACATTGCTTGTTCTTGCTGCTAATATTACAAATTTCATTAAAAAACATGTTTAAAAATATTTTATGTAGTACCTAAATAAAGAATATTTTGATCCTATTTTTTTTTCTACTGCAATAGAACACAGACATAAATCTAATGCCAACTGTAGCTAAAGCCTTAGCGGGTGATTCTACGCCTGACTTTGGAGTCTATGCACCGCCTAGCCAAGAAAAAGTACATACAATAAAATTATTAAGGGACCAGTTTCAGCAGGAATGGAAAATGCTTCAGTGTTCAGGTAAGTCATCTCTTTATCTTTATTACTCATACACATACATTTTTGAGATGATAAAATACAGCTAAATTCAATAACATTAAAGTCAGTGGGAGTTCTACACTGATCTATTGTGAACAGGGTGAAACTTTAAATCCAGTGGATTCTGCCCCTTGAACCAGAAAGCACCAAACTAACACAATAGCTATTCTCTAAGGAACTTTCATTATTGTTATTCCAATACTTAAGATTATTTGTTTGGAAGTGAAACAACCAAAAATATTTTAAGGAATCATTGTAAGATATATGCTCATTCTGATTGTTAACTTGTTTTCTGAATGTAGCTCAAAATCACCTAAACTTTTAATGTATTGAACTAGATTCCAGGAATTGGACATAATTCATTAGTGATTACTCTTGCTTCATTCCTACGTAGTTGAGGATCAGGTAGTCTATCTGCATAGGAATCAGATTAAGCAGGTGTAAATGTTTTGAACTATACTTACTAGATATATTGCTCTATTGAATAACTTAGTTTTTTAGCAAGAATACCATTGGTAAATGAAGGTGCATTTGCCTCTCTGAAATAACACGGCCCTCTGTTTTGGGAGAGATGGTCAACAGCTGTAGTCTCATTTGGAGGAAAATGTATTTAAGGGTTTGGGAAGTGGTGTCTGAGCTTGATAACTAACTTTTTTTTTTAAATGCTCTTCTTTTTTAGTGAAGAATGAGATTTCAGGAAATTGACTTCACAATCATTTTACACGGCAGGAACAGAAAATGTGTTGCTATTTGGTTTGCTTTTTTAATCAGTAAAAGGATGGTTGATCTGTAGCCAAAACAAGAGCCGTTAACTGTTGTTTCATCTTTTTAAGATATGCAAAATCCATATTTTCCTCTCTATATCTAAGGAATTGTACATGCAAATTCTGTATTGACACCAGTCATGCAAGAATGACTCTTGAAAGCCTGCTCCTGTGCCTTCATTACTGCACACTGGGACCGATGTTATCTATGACTGGTGAGGATTGTATATACAGTAGCCTGACTACCTGCAAACAGAAGTAATCTGGAAGACAGGAATCCGAAATGGGCAGTTATAATATCCAAATATTTTTAAACTGTTCATGCTTGCACTGCTGCCACTGCTACTCTTTGGCAGCAGATCCTGCAGACTAATGATGATCTTTTTTTCTGATGTAAAGAATTATCCTAATGTGGACTTTTTTTCTTATTTTTTTCAGAACTTGAGAGGAAAAAGATAAAAATATTTTGCATACATATAAGTTGCAAATATATAATTGAATAAAGCAATGAAAAGATTAAAATAACATACATGCAAGAGCCATTTTAGTGCTTGTTTTTCTTTATTAAATCTATTTAAGAAGGAAGATGTTCCTAATTTCAGAAAATTCCAGATTTAACATCCCCTTGTTAGCAGTTTCTTCTTTAATAGCAGCAATCTTCTTTACCTTGTTTCATTTCTTCACCTGTGAAAAGTAAGATAGCTCCCCTCTGAGATGTAAATAGGTCACATCTATGTGAAGCACTTTAAAATGCAAAAGCTCTGCAGAAGTAGGGAGCAGTGTTACTAAATGCAGCATTAAAAGAACTACATTCTGACACAAGGTTGGTGTGCTTCAGCTTTGGCAGGATCTTTAGAAGAAATAGTTGGTAGCCTGAAAAGCCTGGATTTGTTGTTGCACATTTGAGTAACAGTTTGTATGGAAGCAGTTACCCCACTGCCCTTCCCAGGTTCCAGCAGCCGGATCAAAGGCTGGTGGAAGTCTGCCCGCCACATTTATTTTTATTTATTTGGGAAACATAGCTCCTCTGTGCGCTGTAAATTGCTGTGGCTAAGGGCCTTAATTCTCCCCTCTTTCAGACATGAAATTTCTGTACAATGACAGCAGATTTGGGAAGCGCCCAGAGCTGCCCTGCTACCAGCCGTAACCATCCTGAAGCAGTGGCCGTAGCTTGCGTCTCTGGTGCTCGTTTTGAAGGACACTTCTGTGACTTAAAAATTGGTTAAGCACATTTCCATGGGTTTTCCACAACTGCGAGTGGTGGCAGTGGGATCATAGTTTGAATGCTGTAATTAATACTATTGCTGTATTCAAAATATGTTTTATAGTGTTTATTTGAATACTTCAGTCATTTCTCATGTTGCCTTTTTTTCATATCTGTGCCAAATGCTACTCTTCTGGTTCACACTAACTTTCAGTTGGTGGTGGCTGGGAAATGGCTTCTATTTTGAAATCTATCCCCAAAGAGAGTAAAAGTTGTAGCAAATATTTTTCTGCAGTTTTTATTATTATTATTATTATTTATTAGTTTTATTTATTTTCCATCAGCTGCAGCAGGTACAATAAACGTGGTTAGTGTCTTCATGGCAATAGCATGTTTATTATATAATACACTACCGAGATTTTATAATACTATATAGTGTGTATATATATATCTGCATGCGGCGCTCAGCTACACTGCAAGTAGCTGTTTTTATATGTATAACACTTACATAACACTATATTTTTGCTATTGTTAACATACTATATATTAGTATGGTTTTATATTATTATATGTATGTTATATGTATTATATAAAACTATATTATATATAGTTTTATATAAGTATTAAACATATAGATATATCTTAGACATCTCGCACTGCAGCTGGCCGCGCCGCGCAGCTCCCCGTTCAGGGCGGGGACAAGATGGCGGGCGGCGCGGGGCGGGGCGGCGGCGCCGGGGGCGGGAACGGGAGCGGGAACCGGGCCGCCTCCCGTCTCGTCGCCGTGACGCGGCGCGAGGCGACGCGGGGCGCTGGGAGCCGCGCCGGGGCGAGGCGAGGAGCGCGGGCGGCCGCGGAGCCCCCGGGGCCGGGAGGTGCCGGCGCGCTGGGAGCGCGGCTGAGCCCCGCGGGCGGGTGCCGAGCTCGCCCACGCACGGGCGGCCACAAGTTTTCTCCTCTTTTTTTTTTTTTCTCCCTGCTGTTTTCCAGGTCTTGGGGCGTGCGGCAGCAGCGCGGGGGACATGGAGAGCATCACGCAGCTGTTCGGCGAGCTGTGCGAGGCGCAGCTGGCCGYGCTGCCCTGGAAGGCGCAGCTGGGCCGGCGGCGGCTCTGCAAGAGGAGCGCCCGGCGGCACCTGAGGCGCGTCGCCTACGACGCCCTCTTCATGGACCTCTTCCGAGACGAGGCGCGCAGGCTGCACGCCAGCGCTGCCCGGCTCCCCGTCAAGAACAAGATTTTGATGCTGTCCTTCAACCTGAGGGTGGGCGGCCTGGGGGCCCAGGCCGAGCGGCTGGAGAGCCTCGTGGAGGAGCTGGAGGCGGCCGATTCCCTGCCCTTCACCGAGGTCAGCTCCGTCCTGGATCTCCTGGTGCAGCTCGCCGGAACAGGCCCCCCGCAGCTCGTGCCGCAAAAGAAGGACTATTTCCTAAACAACAAATACGTTGGGAGGAACGTCAAGTACCAGGGTTACGATTATTACGACGTGAGCGTGTTCGAGGCCGACATCCAGTCCCTCATCACGAGCGAGGAGTGTCAGTTGAGCGACACGATCCAGAAGACGCTGCGGATCATGGAGGCGGCGCCCGGCACCGGCCTCTCGGCCATGGGGCTCTTCTCGCAGGGCTCTCCTGCCGGCGACAGGTTCGAGAAGGAGACGCGGGTGTCGCTCTTCGGGGCGCTGGTGCACAGCCGCACCTACGACATGGACATCAAGCTGGATCTGCCGCCCGTGCCCGACAGCGCCGATCTGTCCGGACTGGCAATTAAAGTAGGATAGTGTTTGGTTTCGACTCCGAGTCAACACGTGCTTCCAATGTGTCCCTTTTCAAACTCTTTTGGAATATATGTTCTCTTTTTTTTTTGTGCATGAATGTGATGGAAACATGGCAGTGCTTGAATTTTTGCATTGTGGGTTTTGCTGACAGCCAGATAGGCTTTCCAGGTATAGAGCTGACAAAAAATCTTGGTGTCACATCTAGCAATGGGCTAAAGATGTCATCCTGCCAGTCAGCTCTGTCTGCTCATGCCTCCCTTTGCTTACATTCTTGCCTGCTTTATGCTTTGGGCATCTTTGCATCCTTACTCTGATTGCATAAGCGTTCCTGTCTGTGTGTTCTGCTATGCATATTACACTGCCTCCCTTGTGTTTCCTCAGCTTACTGTGGCTTTAACCAGTTGTTTCAGTTGTTATTTTTCAATGATCCTTATATTTCCCACTGCCCTTAGGTACTTCCAAGGTGTACAGTTTCTACTGCATCTTTTTTTTCTTTTACTATCCATTTTTTTGCTATATTTGCTACATTGTGTTCTCATTTTAGATAAACAGATTTTTTTTTTCCTCTTTTCAGGGAAGATTCTTTTATGTTTCTTTACTTTTAATCTCTGTTTTGTTCTTTCCATTAACGTATGTATTGTTTTGGTAATTACTGTTATTTGATATCTTAATAGAAGCCTGAAGGCAGACTAAATTTGACTGCTTCACATAAAACTCCTGTAGAAATGGGTAGGAGTTGAGGTTATGGTACTGAGCACATAGATACCTATGGATTTTCTGCATGTGAACAGATTTAACAAGTGGAATTAATCATAGTTAACAAAATGTATAAAAAATTGAAGAGCTGGTTCCTGAATCATGTGTTGAAAAGAAATTCTAAGCAGTATTATTTTACTGGAGTGTGTGTATTGTTGAATGCCCAGAGGTGAGATTCTCAGTCAGCTGGTATGTTTGCAGAAGGAATAGGTTTCAGTTTTAATACCAACCAAATGTATTACTTGATGGTTGTTTTATATATAGTCATTGGTACCTGCAGATCTAACGAATGAAAGAATACTTACAAGCTTAATATTAAAGGGAAGAACAGATTGAAATACTGTGTCACGAATGATAGCAAAACCTATTATTTATTAGCATGAATTTCCTTATTAATATATGGTTGTGTGTCTGAACTCTTTTGACAGGTTCCTCAAAGCATAGACCAGTCCGAAGATGAGGGGTTCCAGTCAGCATCCAACCTGACTCCGGATTCGCAGTCGGAGCCCAGTGTGACACCTGATATAGACCTGTGGGACGCGGTGCTCACCTATGGACCCAGCAAGCGGAGGTGTTGGGAGAGGATTGGATAGTACGTGTCTGCTGCTGCTATACATCATCATCATATATGCATGCATGTCAGGGTGTCTCTGTTCCAGGAGACCTCAGGATAAACTTGGAAATGTGCAAATTTAACACACAGAATTCAGGATACTGCTGTATACTGTATCGAGAGAGGAAGTAAAGGTGCTGCAGCTTCTCCAAACTAGCTCTTAGGCCTGCAGCTAATTGGTTCATAGGAGCAGGTTAGAAAATCATCTTCGTCAGAGAAAGAGCAAAGGGATTAAGGCTTACTGCCTCTGTGAAATGGGCTTTTTTAATCAGTCAGGCTTCTTATGTTTTCAGTTTCCAAAGAAGATGGTAGTTGTACTGAAAGATTTAAATCCATACTCCAATATTGTATTCATATTTCCTGTGTCTGTGACAAAAACAGGAACTCTAACTGGTGTCTTTATAGTATTATTAGACTTCTAGTTCTTTTTGGTTATTTAAGAGAAGATACGTCTAGATGGTGGTACTCAGAGAAATGTGCTCTTTATATCCCCTGTGTTTTTATGTAGTCAAGGAATGTATCTATTGCAGTATTATATGGTGTTTTTTTTCAGTTCCAAGCCTCAGAAGCTCATTTCTGTCTCCCCAGTCTGATTTTCCAGATCCACTGTAGCTCTGTCTAGCTTTGTTCATGATACAAGGCAGTATTTGTTGATGCATTTAGTCTATAAGTCTTTCAGATTTAAAGCCCATATGTCTGACAGCTTGAATGCAGTGGATGCTGCTAGAATTTATAGTTTTTGGAAGCAGTGGAATATGCTTTGTGGGGAATGGTTATCCTCACTGGGAAGAACTTAAAGTTGTTAATACAAATCATAATGATATTTTGAGCATACTTATTTTTGAAGTAGTGAAATATTAATATTACAATGACCCTGGAAATATAGTTTATATTGCCCTCTTTTTACTTATGTGAAACTGCAGCAGAGAAAGCCAGCAGAGAAGCTTGGTAACTCTCCATCGAGGTTTCAGTCTTTGAACAGATATTCAAATTATCTGCAAGTTTCTTCAATGTACTGAATTATGGTTACAGTTTTATGGCCTGAATGCACATTCTTTTAATAAAGCAGCATGATACTAGTAGTGTTTTTAATGCACAGTGCATATTACTGACTGTGTAAAAATCAGGAAAGTCTTCTTGCCTTTTTTAGGAGCTATGTTTTCTTCTTTTCATATAATCCTCTTTTGTGTTTACTCTGATGCAGCCCACCTGGTAAGAAAGAGGAGCCCTACCTTACTGAAGCTGGGAGAGAAGCTTTTGACAGGTTTTACAAGCTCCGAGAAGGGGAATTGCAGCTCTTCAGTAATACTGCCCTGCAGTTTCCACAGCTTGTGCTAATGAAAGAACCTGAACTGGTTAAGGATGTGTTGAATGTCCTCATTGGTGTGGTATCTGCCACATTTTCACTCAATCAGGTATGGAAGACACTTCAAAGTGTAGTTCTGATTTACATCTAAGCTTGTAGGGGTTTCCTTGGAAGAATTAGATTTGGTTCTTTTGAGATCTTACAATTATTTTGGGTACTGTTAAAAGACTGAATGTGGCCATAGGGTAGTATTGATATGTGGCAATAGTGCTGTTACTGTAATGCAGTTGGCAATGGGTGTTTTGTAGTGCTCTAATGGAAAATTGGTTTGAGAATTCTTGAAGATAGAAGTAGTTTCACAGTAGTATTTTCATTAAAGCCTTAGATAATCATATTCTGTGTGTTTGAAAATATCGTTGACACTCCCAAATTTTGCTAAAATTTAACATACTTAACTTACTGCCCTGGCTGTGGAGTCTCAGTAAGCAGGAAACCTGAAGTACTCGTCATGTTTGTCTGTTAGTATTTTTGTATGTAAACATCTGCTATTTTAAATCCTAATGCATCCGTGAAATTGATTTTTTTCCCTTTATTATTTTAGGCTGTGCAAACGTTTGTGATAAAGGAAGGGGTTTATGTGTCTGGAACCTCCCCAGAGACGATGCACAACCTACTCTCAGAAGTGGCAGAATACGGGACCTACTACACGCGGCTGAGTCGTTTCTCTCTCCAGCCAGTCATAGATTCTTCATACAACAAGGGGCTTGTGTTTCAGGTAATGCAGCCTTCTTAAATCACTTATTTTGAGTGACCTGTTTATGTTAGATAGAGAAGATTACTCTGATTTCAGGTAGGCTGGAATGCTTGCACTCTGCAGAATTGCAACGTATTTTCAGGATAAGTATTTATATTTGCTGAAGCCCTGCAGTGAAGCCCTGTGTAAATTGGAGCTGAGTGTATCTAGGGCTTGCAGTTATTGGAAGAAGATGAAAGCACTTCATTACCTGGTGTGATTTGTTTATTCCTGTTCTTCTCTTGAAAAGTAAAGGAATACCCTTTTTAGATGTATGTGTTTGTACATTAAAATACAATAATGTATAGTTTATATGATGTGTTAATGTATAGTTTATATGATGTGATGCACAGAGTATGTGTACGTAAATATATACTTTAAAATATGTAAGTTATTTTTAGAGCTGAAACAGAATAGAGAATCATGATGTTCAATAGCTTTAATTACTTCTTCATCATCCATAGTTACTTCTTAAGCATAAATTTTTCTCTAACGGTCACCTGCAAATTATACTGAGCCCTATGTGTATTGTGCATTGTGTATTACTAGGTGAATTCACGTAGAATTCAGTGAAGATCACCTACAAAAATGCATTCCTTTGAAATATTTCATTTATGGTAATGCTCGCAGAAATTATGTATGTATTTCAAAAGGAGAAAAGAAAGTCTCTGTGTTGCTATAAAAGGTTGGACGTTTAAAGATTTTTTTTTTCAAAACCAAAACTACATGCAGATAAAGGCACAGGTTTCAGCTGTTAAAAAGTGAATAGCTCCTTGAAATGGCAATGCAAAGAAGCTAAACCAGTTGAACCAAGACTCCTTATTATGTTCTGCCAGAATATATAGTCTGTGTGCACTGGATATAGAGAGGGTTTAGAGGAGATAGCTGCATGACTCCAAGCCTACTTGGATGTCTTAAGTTGCATGGTGAGGGTATTTCCCCCTTATTTTAGACAGCTTTTTTTTCTTTCTTTCTTTCTTTTTGGAAAAGGCTTTGTCTTTTTTTTTTTTTTTTTTCCTGGGGATATAATTGATGTGAGACTTAGGTAGGCTATTAACAGCGTTAACCACAAGACCTGTTCAATATTTTCTATTGATACTAGGCATTCACAAGTGGGCTGAGAAAGTATCTTCAGTATTACCGAGCCTGTGTTTTGTCAACACCTCCTACTCTGAGTCTTCTAACAATCACATTTCTTTTCAGAAAATTGGGTCGTCAATTGAGGTAAGAAAATCATATTAAATATTTAAGCTGTTCAGTGAAGAAAAATGTAATCTCTTTCTTCATGTATGTGAAAAGGAACGGTATTAAGCAGATGCTGTTACACAGTTTTCATCAGTTTTTCCTCTGTTTTCATGGAAAGATTTGTTCCAGAAAGGTCTAGGAAAAACTAGGTGAACCTACATTTCTTATGTAATACATATTTCAAAATACTATATGGTGTATGATACTCAACAATAACATTGCTGAGATCTCAGAGACTTCTGAGTGAAAGATGTTACTACGTTTGTTTTGATACTATTACGTTTCAGGTACTTGGCTGAACTTTGTGGCATAGGAACGACGACGCTGGGGATCAGTGGCGGAGCTGGTGCTTCATTTCCTACGGTGATCATTCATTGCATGTTTTTATGCTTATCTTGGGATAGAATATTAAAATGCTTCAAATAAATTAAGTAGGATTTTGTATAAATAATTAAGTGGTGATCTCAACTTTATTACAGAAAAAAGCCCAGAAATAAATGTTGCTTGACTTAAGTAAAATACCACTGAGCTAGTATTGAAATGCTTTGGAATTTACAAGTGCCGTGTGAGATGAAAAAGAACAATTTCAAGGGATGGTGCTTACTGATTTTTGGGTTCTGGTTCTATATGTGCCTTTGCAAATATGAAAGTGTTTAAAGTCACAACCCAGAAAAAACAGAGCATTTACAAATAGTGCTTTTACACAAAAGGGAGCAATCTTAATTTTGATTAGAAGGGTTGTTCTGGAGAAAGGATAAGTCCATCTTCTACCTCTCAGGCCAAAGTGGGTGTTAAATAACCCGTGGGGCCAACATCTAGAATGCAGTGATCCTTTCTCCAAATATTTCAAACTTGGGAATTTTATCCAGTGATTTAATTTGCAATTCCTGAAGTAAACAGAGGACTCAAAATAGGCTTTAAAGCCTGTCATCTCATTCTGAAAGAGATGTCTGTAGCAAGTCAAATGAATCCACAATCCACTTCCAAATACGCTTATTCCTCTCCAGTGACCAGCAAGTGAACTTAGGGTAATTAGCTCAGATTAAACTGATCTTAACTACAGATATCTTAAGTGAGAGGAATCCTACCCACCCTGTGTAGTTAAGCAGATGTAAGGATGTGTGTTGAGGAATCTTTCCCTCTAGGAACCCAGTGTTAAAGTGGAATTTATTGTCTAACATTAGAATAGTCTTTATTTCTTTCAGGGTGTGAAATTGCTTTCGTATCTGTACAAAGAGGCTCTCAACAACTGTAGCAATGAGCATTACCCAGTTCTTCTGTCTTTGTTAAAAACCAGCTGTGAACCATACACAAGGTGTGTGTATTTTCTTCTCTTAGTAATTGTGTTTAAGAACAGTCTTGAGTTAGTAGTCTGGTGAGTAACTGCTAATTTAACTATCTTTTTGGCATTTTCAGAGGAATGTAAGCTGTGTCTCTTAAACACTAGTAAAAATTCGTTTATTTTACTGCTTTCCTTATTTTCTCTACTTTATCAACCCATCAACAACATAAAGGCTTTATGTATGTGTATATGACTAGATTAGCCCTAAAAATTCTCATTGAAATCTGAAGACTCAAATAAACCTTTAATCTTTCTTCTTGCATACCATCACTTCTAGTAAAATCCTGGCACAGGCAACTTTCTCCTGTTGCACAAACCAGGAAAGTTCATGGTTGTTTCCACTGTCTGGCCACTTCTATATGGGCTTTTCAGTAAGCAAAAATGAAGTGAAACACATCTGTTATTCATTAAGTAGGGAGAACTAAGTAGTGCCAGGAAATGGATTTCCTTGTATTGCAACAATTTTGTTAGGCAGCACTCTTCAATTTAGAAGTTGTTATATTTGTATACTTCTGAAGAGATAGTATTTTTTTTAAATAAGCATATATAGAGATTATAGGTGTAGACCATTGTCAGTTTACAGTGATATTTATTAGACATAATGTTATTAAAAGGAAAAAAAAAGTCAAGGTGTTCTAAATTGAATATTCCTCCTATAGTCACCCCCTTGTTTTTTTTTTTCTTCCTTCTGCTTAAACTCTTCTTTAGAGAAATTCAGTTTTCTTCAGTTTACCAGCAGATCACAATATCTGATGATAGCTCCTGCCCTGCAATGCACAGCTTGTAGTTTAAGTAGCAAGCACAGGATGTCAAGGCATCACTACAGAGCTGAAAATATAAAAACACACTTACTTGTATGTAGTATTTGTGGGCCTGACACCTAAGTCTGTTGCAGGTCACTGTCAAGACATCAGTCACATAAGCAATCCGGGCTGCCGTAGAAGAGGGCAGGTATTGTCTAAAGAAAAAAGTTAGCCTGCTCATTCATTAATCTAAAATACATAAACTAACAGAAGCTGGCTTTGTTCATGCAGTTCCTAGAAAAGTAAGTTTTAACACGTAAAAAGGTCTTAACTTTTTGCTTAAAAGCTCAGAGTTGAACTATGGTTTCTGTGCTTAACATCTCCTTTTTAGCATGTGCAACAAACCAGCAGCTGGTTGCTAGTATTGCAGCTAGAAGGAAAGCGAAGTATTAGGTTGAAGGTGCTCCGAGCTTTTTTAATTTATAGTTTAATTTCTATTTATTTATTTAATTCAAAAGCCCTTTATCACAGAGGGGGAAAAATGAAAAAGTATGAACAAATACTCTAAAATAGTAGTTCTCATTTTCTGCATATGTATTAGAGATGTTTCTAGTTGAAGGAAAAGTGTGCGCATATTTGTTTTATAGTCTTTCCTCTTTCTTTCTGCTAGTTAATTCACCTGAAAATAAATCCTTCCGGCTTTTCTTTCTCTGTTCTTTTGATGTGTCTGATTAGATTGCCAGAGGCTTTCATATCCACTTAGTGATGTCCAGTTATGAAGATTGTTTTAATTCAGGCAGTTCTCTTTGGTCTTAAATATTTACTTTTCACTGAAACGTGTGATATAAAGAGAATTTCTTTTGAGAAAGAAAGCACAGATACAGTCTCATGTATATCTTTAATATTAGTTCAGTAGCACTTAATTGCTCATTAACCTTGTTAATATATGCTTTGATCTTTTAAGGAATATCATTATTTACTTGCAGTAAATTTGAAAAGAGGATTTTTTTTCAATGTGCTATAATAATAAATTATTATTTTTCTTTTTTAGATTTATCTATGATTGGGTATACAGTGGTGTTTTCAGGGATGTTTATGGCGAATTCATGATCCAGGTGAATGAGGATTATCTTTGTTTCAGAGGTATGGCACAGACATTCAGATTTTGAATCTGACACATTTTGAATTATGCAATCTGTGGTGTTTTAATTAAAATTTTCTATGTTTATCCATTTGTCTGATGTGCAGATAAACATTACTGGACTCATGGCTACGTTTTGATTTCGAAGGAAGTAGAAGATTGTGTCCCTGTCTTTCTTAAACATATTGCCAATGATGTGTACATATGTGGGAAAACCATAAACTTACTGAAGCTGTGTTGTCCCAGGGTAGGTGTTGGCTTGGCTCTTTCTTGCTGCATTGAGAGAACCATGACTCTTTGGGCTTTTAGCAGATTTGATCTTTTATTAATAAGTGGTGTTACGTAAACACAATGTTGATTCATGTATGGTAATTATTTAGTCTCAGATATTTGTGAGCTGATTATCTACTCACTTATACCTCAATGAATAACTATAAATTTGATGCTATTATAATTTTATATTATCCCATATGCAGTCTGGGCTTCTGATTTTCTGTTGTATTGAAAGCAAGAATGTTTTATGCTTCCAAACAACTACCCTCCATTCTTCACACAACTCATACTGTTATTTGTATATTTAAGAACACCTCTTTTACCAAATTGTAATTCAGTTTTGCATAGCTCTTTTATTTCATCTCTTGTCTACCACTGTTTCTGAGAAGCCTTAAGTAGTTTAATTCCTATTTTGTACAACCAGTCTTTTTGATAAGAAGAACACGTTAAATTGATTAATATCTCCCCTCTAAGTGTCTCCAACAGTGAAGCAACCACAGAGGTTGCTCTGTCTGTGGACACTCTTTGCCGAGCGACTTGAATTCTGTTTCTTTGTAAGGTCTGAGCTGCCCATTCTTGTTAGAGTTGAACATCCCCTCTGGGCAGGACTCCAGTGTCTCACATGGGGTGTCCCCCCTGCTATTTCTCCCAATGACTGCTCCTCTAAATGTTCTCACTCCATGGTTCGCATGTGCCCATAGTACCCTAATAAATGTTCACTAAGAGAGTATCTTCTGGAAAACATATTTTAACACTTTACAATTAAAAATGTATTTAAATGGAACTTTCTAATTATTTTTCAGCACTATATATGTTGGTCAGACATTCCCGTTCCACGGATTTCAGTTATTTTTTCCCTGGAGGAGCTGAAAGAAATAGAGAGAGATTGTGCAGTGTATGTAGGTCGAATGGAAAGAATTGCCCGATACAGTTCAATAAGCAAGGAAGAGAAGGTAAATAAAGAAGAGAACAAAAGGATAAAAATATTATTGCTAGTATGTAAGAAATCCCAAATTTTTCACATTTATTGTGGCTTTGAAAGAATTTGTGTTCATGGTCAAAACCTTACATGTTGCTCAGTTGCATTTTGCACTGCTATCTTAGCAAATAAGCTTTTAATATAGTTTTTAAAAAATAGATGGCACACTGTCTTTTCTTGGCATTTTCATATTTTTTGTGAATTTTGGACTGTCATCGAAAAAGCTTTGAAAATATTCGATTATAATTTGGGAAATACAACAAGTTAATGAGTAACCTCTCCTTATTGGCAAATTGTTTTGTCTGAACACTTTTAGGATAAACAGATGTACATCTGTCAGATGCCATCAATCTGGTGTATAAACCAGTCTGGCTTGGTTCAGTGTATTGTCTGGGATATTAATAAACTCTTAATATTTATTTAACTAATAAAATAAGCACTTTCCATTTAATTGCTGCCTTATTTCTACACATAGAGTGACTGTAGATTAATAACCATTTCAAAGTGTGCACCTGCCCTTGCAACACTGTATTTTCAAATCTAAAACGAGCAAAATTGCCAGTAGAAAAACTTGTTTTATAGGATTTACGCATGGAAATAGCCAAACAAGAATTAATTGTTCATGCTCGAGAAACTGCCAGCAAAGTGCTAAAAGCCATTAATGGTAAGTTGTGATGAAGCTTTGTGTGTGTGTGTGGTTTTGTTTTTGTTTATTTGTTAATATGAAATGGTGGTATCTTTATTGTAATACAGATCGACAAATATCAGAGCGAATGGCTTTGGATGCAAAGAAACGGGAGCAGTTCCAGAAGCTGAAAGAGCAGTTTGCAAAAGACCAAGAGGTATTTCTGTCTTTACTCCTTTCCCCTTACTCCTCCTTTCCCCTTACTCCTCCTTTCCCCTTACTCCTCCTTTCCCCTTACTCCTCCTTTCCCCTTACTCCTCCTTTCCC